CTACAAATTCAGCCTTAGTATCTTCTAATGCGCTATCCCGCTGGTCATTAGCTAGTAAATTATCAGAACACATTTCATCTGAAAGGGCACTACACAGCAAGGTTTTTTTCGGATCTTGGATTCGGCATCCTAAAACACGATCAACCTGATAGGAAGCCACAAACAAAAAAAAGAGGAAACATATATTACCAAGCATGAGCAACACATAAGTCGCCAGAAATGAAGGCACGTCATCAGAGACAATTCTGAGGAACAAGAAGATTTGTGATGGCGGAGACCCAAGGACGGATTACCTGCAGGTTTCCAGCAGGAAGAGGGATTTTGTCATCCAAATTATTAGAAGATTTGTCTGTGTCACGTATTGCATGACGTTCCTCCTTGGAAAGCTTCTGCATTATTACAAACATTTACTAAATGAAAGATGATACAAGATCAACTTCAAATGAAGAATGCAATCAATAGAACTACCAAACATAGTTTATTGATATGTCAACTCTAAATAAACTTGCTTTTAAGAATCATAATCAATAAACATCAAACTATTCCCAAGCTTTAATAGAGGTACTCCACAATTCATCTGCCCAACTAGAGGTATAGTCAAATTCGTCACACCGCCTTGTGAAATACCACTCAACTAATAAATAGGTAAAAACACTAATCGAGTTTGGGCAGGGAGATTGGAGAACAAACAGGTGTTGCAAAATGTTAAGCAGAAAAAAATGTCACATTTAAGATGAAGGCATGGATGCAACATTTTCAGGTTTCATACAAAATATCCCCCAATATCAGCATAGTAGAATGTCTACAAAACCTATAAGAATTAGGAAAACATTACCTCGACTTTCCCCAGTGTTTCCATCTTGGATTGAGGTTGGGACAGAGATTTTAAAGTCACGCGATTTTTCTTCTTCTTTTTTCTCGACGAATCTGATGTTTTGGTATTCTGAGAACCCACTTTGGACGAACTTTTCTTTGCTCGCTTTTTCTTGTCAGTCTTACAACTTTTGAGACTTTCCCCATCATTAGGCTCGCGCTTCCGTTTTTTCCTTTTGCCTTTTCCACTCTCCTCTTCAACAATTGTCTTGTTTTCCACAATCTCGCTAAGAGCCTGTTCCAACTTCTCCCCAGGTGCTTCATGATTTTTCTCCGTATCTGATAGTTGAGATTCAGAGAGATCTTCACAAGAGAGCAAGGTTAACCTTGCATCAGAAGGCAAATCTGCAGTAGGTATGACAGGTTTGCCTAAATCATCTTCTCCATGAGACGATGAGTCGGGTCGGTCATCCACGGATGCATGACCCAGCTCAGCAGTGGAACACCCATCCATCGGGGACGAATAAACTTCCTTTCCTATGGATTTGCTCTCTTCAGCCGAAATAGATTTCCCTTTCTCTGAAGATTGTTCTCCAGAAATTATAGAACTGCAGTAAATCTGGGAAGCTCTCTCGCACTTTGGTCCGCCTTGCGAATTTCTTTTCGTTGTTTTTGTCCTAGCTCGCTTTGCAATGGCATCTAGACGATTAACAGGCTTGAGCGCATCGCTGTTTTTGGAACATTTTGGGCAGACCCAGTTTCCATTTGGAATACGCTGGACGAGACAAGATAAGATTTAAGATAAGTTATCCAATCTGGGTATTGTGAATCTACCATAAGGGCCACAAGCGAAAAAAATAGATCGTTTACCTTAAGAGGCGGATTGAGGCATGCGATATGATAGGTCCGAGGACAACTATCACAGCACAGTAAATCACCACCAAGGTCACAGATCACACATTCAAAATAATTCTGTAACAAAAAAGGGCATTCACAAAACAACACCACATATGGAATAAGCAGAAAAGCTTATTAAAACAACACACAAGAAAAGGAAAATTGAAGTTACCCCGTCATTGCCCTTCCTTTTAGAGGCGGCCCTTTCAGGAGTTGAATCAGTCCTAAGCCGATGCTTAGTTGGTTTAGCGGAAGAGGAGTATTCTGGCGAATCGAAAGGCACTGAAGTATCCACTTTTTGGTCTAATAAATCCAGTATAGACGGAAGTTTTCTTCGTTTTTGCTTCATGACACAATCTCTATTTATCATTTCACTGCCTGAATCTTTCATCTTCCATTTCTGTTTTCTTCTCTTCTGCCTGATAGAGCACCGGATAGGCCTTCATGTGTAAATCACAACTACAGAAGTAACCAAAGAATACGATTATACCGGCCTTCAAAGAACTTTGCTCCTACACTAAAATCACCAAAGAAAAATGAGTAAGGCAAATCTTAAATATTAAATCAAGAGACACTGAAACAAAAAGGAAGATGTTAGATTACACACATGCTTACAAACATTGAACGAAAAATGATGTGGTAAGATGAAATATCACTCAAAACCAAAGAACAAATCAACGATGCAACATGATAAAACAGAAAGGGATGGCTTCCACAAGTCAATAGTCACATAAATGATAAATTGAAAATGTGGAAATGAACTCTTTCAAGATTCGAACAAATGTCATAGTACTGACCCATAGCCACAATTCCATTCACATTTACAATGATATGGTCTTATTTCTGTAACAAAATTAAAAATCAAAACAGCAGCATCCAAGCATAAACGCTAAAGAATCTACGAAATTAAATGATGTCCCCGCTAAATACGGTCGTTAGTTCACAACGTTAGAAGCATCACGCTAAATCCGTAAAATCTAGATTCTCAATTAAGAGTGAGATACAAACCTAGTAACTAATCTAATCTCAGGACAGCTTTGCAAGATAAACGATTTGATCCCTGAGAATACTTCAATTACTTCTAATACATTCCTTTACTTAAAATTGAACTTTTCTCCAAGGCAATACACTAAACGTAGAAAACTCTACTGCCAAATTCAGATAGTACAAGGCTTTGGTAAGTAAACCACACAGACTTTTTTTTTTGCTGGTAATGAAAACACGAACAATGGTGAAATTCAAACACAAAACCATGAGAGATCAAGAATCATATTATTACAACACACATTGGACACTAAACCAAAACCCAATTTCCCTATATTAAAAAAAAAAAACAAGACTTTAAAAAACCCAATTACTAAAAAATCACTCTTTTAATCAAACCAAATCATCAACAGATAAATAAGCATCGAAATTCAGGGAAAACCAAAAAAATCAGCGAGTTTAACCCAGAAAAAGTAGCTTACCAAATCTGAAATCTCAAATCGAAACACTAGTCCGATGATCAAGGTGGAGAAATCCGGCAACGGAAGCTAGGGATTGAACAAAAGGGGGGGGGGCTTCTAGGGCACGGCCTCAACAC